TAATTCTAGCTGTTTTAATTATCTTTTCAAATAAGTCTAGATACGTAACATGTTAAAAAAGCTTAAAAAAAATATACCAGTTTTCAAAATTCTTCAAAAAAAGGTTCTGCCATAGAAAAAATATTATCAAACCATTTCTAAGCCCCAAATCTTTAAGAAAAAGTTCGTTTTGTTCCTTGAGAAAAATCGTGTTGACTAGTGTAATCAATACATCGTATTCTAAACCTATATCATGAGATATCGGTTTTAATAAGATACGAAATAAAATTAACTAAACTTCCCCTTGAATATTCATTGATAAGATATCGATTTAGCTATCGATTAGGTATAAATATTAAATAATATTATAATATCTTTATATATTTCGGTATGGGTAAGATTTTGTTATGCCAGATATCTTCATCGTTATCGATAACTTAACGATAGGTAGCGATATAGTTATCAATAAGTTATAGATAAATTTTAATAAGATACTCCTGCGGATTCATTGCTCCTCTGATAGTTACAAACATAAATATACAAATATAATACGACTTAAACGATACCCATACATACATACATATGTCTGTAATACGCTCCCCACATTGATATACAAAAGATAATAGACACACGGATGTGTCTCCAGCGATCTTAATAATCCTATCAATATTATCGAGCTGTTAATGCATTCATTTTCAGCTTGCCCTAGACAGAAGTCTACAGCACAAAAAGTAATATTTATTTTCATCGATGGCGCATGGCTTTGCGAATTTAATCCAGTATTCGTTGAATATTAATTATGTTTTTATGAACATCAAATGAAAGTTATTTTCTATTGAATTCGCATTGGACGAGATGTCACATGGCACGATATAAAGTGCATGGCGAGTGGAGAATTCGATTATAACGATATAACAGGACGATAGATAGCCAGGGATATGGCTATGGCTATGGCTATGCGATGCGATGCGATAGCATAGCCTGTGTCCCGTGTGCTGTGTGCTGTGTCCCGTGTCGTGTGTCGTGTGTCCTTGCCGCATCTGTGGGTTTATTAAATTAGTTGCATTAAATGCAACCAATACATCCTGTTGTCGGTTGTCGTTGTCGGTTGTCGTCAGATATCCGATTGCTGCAATCGGATAAACAGTGGGGCGGAGGGCGGCAGACAGGCAGGCGGGCAGCCCTGGGCATAGATAAATCGTTGGTAAATTTTATATAATCTAATAAAAAATTGATGGCTTTAGAGTGCGACGCTGCGAGCTGGCAATAAATAGCAACAGACACTTTTCGCCATGGCTCTGGCTCTGGCTCTGTCTATGGCTCCTCCGTCTTGGTCCTGCGTGTCTCTTAAGCAAGTCCTTCCGTCTGCCGCCTGCTGCCTGCCGCCTGCTCTGCTTGCCATGTATGCCAATGTATGCGAGCGAGAACTGATGCCAATCCGTTGAAAAGCGCTTGCCAATAAATGATGAGACATCGAAGGAGAAGCTCCTGCAGGAAGGAGGAGCCGGATCCGCCGGCGAGGAGTGGGGCAGACTGGCAAAAGGATATGGGGGCGGATAGGATGGGTAGACGGGAAGCGCATTAGCTGGATTTTTTCATGCAGCGCTGAGCTTAATGAAATGAGTTTGTCGAACTTATTGCTTACTGAGGCATGCAACATGCTAACCGAGAGGACCTCAGAGCACCCAGAGCATGAAGGTGAGAGGAGATTGTGGATGGGGGAAGAGGTAGGAGGAATCTGCACTTATGCAGATACAATTTGCTTGAGGGTCCTTAATTTCTTGGGCACATTTAAAGTTGCATAAACAAGTTTAGTCCTCGATAAACGATGGATAAATTGCAGTGCTGTGGTTGAGTTGGTGCGGGGAAGGGAAGGGAAGGGGAACGGAATGCCTCAAAGCAGCAGCAGAAGATGTCAGTAGATAGAGTGAGTATCTCTAGGGATATTGATATAGAAAAAGAAACGAAATACCTCTATTGAAATAAATTCGAACCAATTTTAGACATGGACGAATAATTATCCTGCAAATGGAGAGGTACCTCGGAAAACTATAGATTTAGCGTCGCGAATTTCGATTTTCCGAGTAGACATTATTATGAAGATAGAAAGTTAACTTTGTGGAAATGCTAAATCCATGTCCGATTGAGTGGATCTAGAGGAAGTTTCCCAACAGACCCAAACAAGTGGAAGCACTCTTACCATGGATGAGGACACACAGATGCAGATACACAGAAACAGATACATTTACAGAGGGGCGCTGCCGCATGACCCGCGATGAATCGGTGCAGAGAAATCCTACTTACAATCAATAAATATATATTACCCTGAAAGCAGTGCAAAGCAGTACTCGGGGGGCAACCCTACCCTACCCTACCCAACCATACATACTACATACAGTCAGTCTCCTTTGGGCGCCCTGGCCACTCTGGCGCCTCCCAATGTGTTGGAATGCTGCTGTTGCTGTTGCTCTTGCGGTTATCTCTCCCGCTGCAGACTCAGAGAAACTATCAGCAGCAGGGAAAACTTGGCGGGCCTTTGATGGTCGTTAGGTGGGTATTGCGCCTGCTGTGGGGTGGGAGGAAGTTCTGAGACCAATAGTTATACGAGTACTCAACAATTAAGTGGGTCACAGGCCGCAGGTCGCGGGTCGTTGGCAAGTCAATCAGCCAATCAGCCATGACCCCCACTCAAAATGATGGGGCGGGGGGGCTGTGGCTGAAAGGGGTGGGTTGAAAGGGGGGGCTGTGGTGTTAGCTTGAAAGGACTCCCCGTCCATTGTTACATGAGCTGCTTCTGGGGCCAGAAAACTTTTGCCTTGGCTGCCTCTGTGGCTCTCTCTCTGGCTCTCTCTCTCTCTCTATCTTTCTGTGTGGCACTTTCTTCTTGCTTGTTATCTTGCGAACATTTCAAAAGTTACACAGAAATGGACCCACTCATACTCCCCTAGGAAACCCACCCCAAGGATCCCCAAATGCAAACCGTTTCAAATTACAACAAAAGCCAACGCGTTTTTGTCTATTAACAAATTGGCACGCGTCGTGTGTTTTAGGCGTCGACTTAAAGGACTCTGGATCCCAGTATCTGCTTAAAATGTTAGCCAAAGAAATATTTATTTATGACTATGGAAGTTAGGGCAGCCCTACCGCACTCCCCCTCCCAACCATTCTATGCCCCTCCCAACTCATGTGTGTGGGTTAATGTTTTCATTAGCTTGAAGCTCCTCCAGCTCCTTCTCCTCTTTCAAGGAAGTTCCTGGGAGTACGTTGAAAACTGTTTGAAGACAGGGCAAACTTTATGCCGCTTCGCGTTTTATGATTCAGAGACGACGATGATGATGATGCTGTTGGATGTGGATGGGAATGGGTGTTGGCTGATGGGGTATGGCAATGGTGATGACTACTCTGCTTTGCCGATAATGATATAAAGGAGACACAGAACCCCATTCCCGCGGAGTATCTGCATATGTCTGTGTGCCCCCTGATTGCCCCCCTCCTGTTCGAGAGAGTATTGACTTCACACAAAAAAAAAAATCAGCAGATAGTCGTAATTTCTGGCCCCACACTCTGTGTGTTTTTTAATGTCTCCGCCTATGGCTGAAGGAAGGGGTCGGGGCCCACCGAAATGGGCAATCAACCGAAATGTGGCACGAAAGGAGGCAGGGGATATATCTGTGGGGCCGTACAACAAATCAATGGCAAAGAGTTTTGCAACGACGACGCCAGTCAGATTTGAGCAGTCACTCAATGGGCGACGATGCTGACAGCACGAAACGAGAATCAGAGACTCAGTCGCAGTCACCAGGACACATATGTGTGTGTGTTTGTGTGTGTGTGTGTGTGGTAATGTCCCCCAGGGCCACTTGTGTCACGCTAAAGAGGCACTCTCAGACAGCGAGAGAGAGACAGGCAGACAGACAGACTGAGTGTCCTTCGAGAGTCCAGAGCGGGAAAGAAAGATAGGAGAAATCTCCTATGCAGATTGAGTAGACAGTATTTGGGCCAACAAAAACCGTTCTTGAGAACGGTGCACTGGAGAAAACTCTCACCGGCGGTGTCGGCAGGTAGATGTACTGGCAGCATAAACAGTAGATCTTCACCATCGACACGTCATACTTTACGCTGAGCTCAGTGGTACGCCCGGTTACAGATCCTGAAGTCGCCGCCAAACTTGAACATTAAACCACATAACGCAGCCGATCTTTGGCATCGCCCTCACCACACAATGTCGAATGTTCACTTTTGCTTTGCTTATCATCGGTGGCACATGTCCTTCGCCCACGATAACGACGACTTATATGCTACGTTCATTCACAATTAAAATATATTTTGATACCACAAATGGATACCCTGCAATGGAATTTTTTCTAGCAGACATTCTTCAACTTAGAAGCCTTTCTTTTCGCGCGTTGTAGTCGCCTTTTAAATGGATGCTGCAGCAATTCGTTTTTTATTTCAATAAATTTTTTTCGCTTCACGAAGCGTGGATCCTGGACTCTCGACCACTGAATGCACTTTACCCTGAACATGGTTCCAATCCAAAAACATACCAAACGAGAAGGAACGTGTGAGTCGCTTCTTTGGACGCGATTCTACTTTGATACCCGTACTCAGTCAGTATATAAATTTGTAACCAAAATTTGGTTTCTGTGGCTCTTATGGTCTCTGAGATCTAGGCGCTTATCAGGACGGACAGACGGACAGACATGGCTATATCGACTTGGCTATTGATGCTGATCAAGAATATATATATTTGTGGGGTCAGAAACGATTTCTTCTCTGCGTTGCACACATCCACTTTTACCACAAATACAATATACCCATTAACTCTCTTTGAAAACGGGTAAAAAAAAAATTCCAGAATGTGGTGACATGCGGCTCTACTATTTCCATGATGTACATACATTAGCTTTATAATCAAACTTTGGGGTTCCAATTTCAACCACTTTTGAGAGAAAACACAAAGATGTTTAAACTCTTTCTAATATCGTATGTGCATAGATTTGAAAATTTGAAAAATCAAGTTTCCTGTCGTTTGTATTTCATTCCGAAATAATATCAAAAGTCAGTGTTCGTTCGTCTAAAGCTGAATATTGTGATTGTAAAATTGTAAAATGGATAGTTTTGAAGATTATTACAGCCGGATTTGTACACTATGCGACGGAGTTTTGGATTGGAAGGAGATGTGGCCAAACCACGAGCTGACCAGCTCTCTTTTTGCTATGCCTGTCGGTAAGTGATCCGTTAGTGAAAGCGATATAAACCGATCTAGATCTAGCACAACCCTGTTGCAGATGAGGCAAGAAATAAACTCCGTGAGGCCCAGGCCATTGCAAAAAGTGCCGATCGCACAACCATCACATTGGACGATTTAAAGATTGTGACAAATACACAGGTTTCGATGAATACGCGTAATCGAAGCAAGCGCTCCATCGAGCCAACACCACCACCAAACACTCGTCGCCTTCGATCCCGCTTGTCTTCAGTCAATTATTGTGAGGACTAAACACGAAGATCCCCAAGAGTAGTCCAATAGCCAAGCCATTGGAAGCAATAAAATATGGATGGAAAAACCAATATTTTGTCTCCTTTTTTGTTTTGTTTTTAAATACCTTTTGAATACTGACAGAATTACATCTAAGTAATGTGTTATTACATTTACAACTAGAAGGAACGTGTGATTCGCTTTTGTAGACGCTACTCTGCTTTTATACCCGTACTCAGTCAGTATATAAATTTGTGAGCTTATGATTTAAGATGTGTTATCTGCATATATATTTACAATGTCGATTCCTCATCGAAAATGTAGATTCTACATACATAATGTAGATTGTAGAATGTAGGACACAACTGAATATTAATTTCTTTATTCTGGCTTTAATAGTACTTTTACATTTTTCACTTACACTTAACTCTTTTTGAGTACGAGTATATAAATGGGGTGAAAAAAAACGTGAACACAACCGAAGAAACAACAAATAAAAACCCCAATCGTTAAGCGAATTCCATTGGCGGGGCCAGGGCCTTTGACCCAATACGAAAATGAGATTACTAGGCCGTGGTATCGCGTTCATGAACCCGCTCTGGCACGCTCCGTTGCTCAGAATAAACGATTAATTGATTAACTTATCGATAATTGATACATGAATCGATGGCAGTGGGCTGGGGCGCATGATTGTGTGGGGGTTTCTGTTGAAAAAAAGTTCGCTTCATGAGAGTATTCATCAAGAGAATCAGGCGCTTGGTAAGCGATCAGCAAATCGTCGAAATGCATCGATTGATGAGGAGGTTTTATTGAACAGAAATTCAACAAATTAAAGGATGAGAAATCAATGGATAGTTGAACTTCCCATTGAAACTCCTTGGTTTATTCTTTTTTATATGGGAACTTCTACCCACCTGCTTATCATAATTTTCATTTAATTTTAAAAATGCAATGATAGTCCGCCAGCAGAATCTGCAGCAGAGACAGGAACCTGGAGCCAGGAGCTTGAGCCTTTTAATCAGTTGCTGATGGCCAATGGGCATGTCGATGTCATGTCCTTTTTTCTCTGTAATTCAGCAAACTGTCAGATGCATGAGAGAAGGCCCTGTCCCACACCGAAAAACTAACCACATAAACGGAAATCATAACCGAAAGCCAGCTTCAATTATGGGGGCATGGGGCATTCAGCCCCTGACACATGGAGATCATTGTCGCCGCGCACTCGATTGCACTTGGAAATGCATTTTTGGGGGCTTATTACGCTGCCCGCTGGCCGGCCAATGCAAATGTCAAATATCACATATACCAGAAATGCCAGGAATACAAGAATTACCAAATGGCATCAAATGCAAATGCAAACGCAAATGGAAATGCGAGGGCGAAGTGCCAGTCTCCTCAGTCCACAGACACAACTAAAAAGTCGATTTCTGGATTGGTCTGGCATTTGCATAAAATGCGATGCACTGTCAATCAGTTTGGTCAGTCACACAGTCAGTCATTCAATGGGATGGTCATTCAGTCAGCCATTCGTTCGTTCAGTCGTACAGTCAGTGCCGCCGGTTGTTCATGGGTTTGTTGATCTATTGACAATCGCCTCTGGTCGTCTCTGGTTTCTGGTTTCTGGTCTCGTCTCCCGTTTCCATCGAATGTCTATATCGAATGCGTTGCCCCCACTTTTGCCCCGCACACACTTCTGGACACATATCAATCTGCTGCTGCTGCTGCTGGACGCAACACACACACAATCAGTGTCTGTAAATCAATGACAGCGGTTCGTAGGGGATAAACACCCTAGTAACAAATAAAATATACCCAGCATTTGAGGAGAGATTCAAAAAGGGAAGACAAAATGCAGAGACGACGCTCTTTTGAGGGCCACAGCGGAAACTGTTGAATTGATATAAGGCAGAAGATAGAGCACATATACTATAAGAAGGAAGATGCTTTCTTTCCGAAAAACCTTCAATACTTTAATGGAATCCACTCTGTCCACAGCAGCGCTTTGCTTATTATAATAATTATATTTATAATAATAGTAAATGATTGTTCATACTCCCCAAAATTCATTGAAAAGAGAGAGAGAGAGAGTCATCGATGAGTGCCAATCGACCCTTACCCTTTTCATATGTGTAAGGGGTAATGGTACCAAAAAATAAAGAAAATCAAATAGAAAGGGAAGTCTGTTACCATTGCCACCCTATGGCCCATCATCATTGTCGCTTGAGGGGGGGATGGTGGTGGAATGTGTGGGCGGTGGGATGCTTTAAGGGGTGTGGGGGCTGGGTGGAACAGGCAAAAAGTCAAATGGATTGAATATTGAGTTTATGATGTTGTCGCTGGCAATTTTCGTTAGCTTTAAGCGGTTTGGCGTTGGATGTGTAGGATGTGGGATACTGGGATACTGGGCTGTCGATGGGATGGGATGGATGCCTGCTGCCTATTGTTGTATGGCCTGCGTATACGCAATATGGCCAGGGAGGCCTCTCTCCCTCCATCTCCTCTATGCGTGTCAGTGTGTGTGTGTTTTTGTCGATTATATGCTTCACAGAGCTGCCAACACACGCAGTTTTCGCACGCTTCAATGCGGCTGAGGGGCAGGACAGGGCACTGTCGCCGCGCCTTCTCTTCGAATTTTCCCATCAGGAGAAGTTTCGATGTGTGTGCGTGTGTGTGCGCATATCTGTGTGTGTGTTCGTGTTTATGGAGTCATGCAGTAAATTGAATTTTGCCCACAACAACGACATTAGCCATATCACAGGCTCTGGCTCTGGCTCTACTCTGCTCTCTGGCGTCCAAGGCGCCGCTGCTCGCCACAGAATTTTCTCTTCAATTTTTTTCGGCTTTTTTTTTTGTGTGGGCCCGCCCCGCCCTCTTCGCTGACAAAGGGGTTGGTTATACCCCCTCGTATTGGGGGTTTTTGCTGGGCTTTATCGCCGGCATAATTTTATATGCTCTGCTACGCTGCGCTCCTCCCCCCGCATTAGCATATGGGATGATGTCTCTCTGTGCCATTTCGGCATTTCGGTTCTGATTTGCCGGGATTTGCTCAGGCTGCCGTAAACAATAATTGTCTGGGCAGTGTACCAGTGTACAGTACGTATCGAAAGTATGTAGATCAGGGAATGTTTCCGGCAAACCATTGTCTTGAATAAATCGAAGACTTAAACTCGTGCAGCGCACTGCCCTGTGTCGGATTAGAGGGGAAATTAGGTTATGGACATAAAAACTAATGAGTGGCAAGTCCATGTCGCTTTCGGGGCTCACTCTTCCCCACCCCCCAGTCCATCGATTGCTGCTACTTTTGCTAAAGTTTCATGAATAAATGAATGACTGAATGAATGAATGTGTGAATCAATGTGCGAAAGCGAAGGAATTCGAATGAGAGGAAGCTCCAGGACTGGCAATGAGATCCAGTTCGAGTGGTTCGAATGAGTGCTGCACTCACATTATATGTATGCAAATTCATTTCATTCAGGAATATCCATTTTTGCAGCACTCTGGTATATTTATTCCCGATGCTTGGCCTGCGTAGATACATAGATCTGTAAGTGTATCCAGCGTCTGTTTGCCTTCTGTTGTTTGTCGCCACACACACAATCTGTGGAACTTTTGGGCAAACTACTTTTGCGCTTTTCACTTTCCAACAGCTTCGGATATTGGTGCCCCACCCACCACCACCACTCTCCACTTTCCTTTCCACTTCCTGCCAGCACTTTGCAGCACTTGGAGCAGCACCCCCACCCCCGACAACGTCAACGCTTAGGTAATTTGAGTCAAACTTTATGCGAAAGTTGCAAATTTGCACCGCAATTTGTGCAAAGTTTTCTTCTTCTTTTTTTTGTGTGTGAGAGCCGAGCATTGGACTGACATCATCATCATCATAGCAGCAGCGGCAGCAGCAGCATTGAGGAGGTGTCTCCCATTGCAAATCGATACGGAGGAAGCAGGGATGCTACTGCGTCCAACAAATATCAATTTGCACTCGTCACAAAAGTGTGGCCAAGTGGCGGCGCATTTAAAACTAACTTGAATGACAATTACGAGTATGCCTCGACTGGACTCCAGCCCCAGAAAAATGATTTGCATTTGCCCTGGAACTTTGGCCTCCGCACCTCTCCGTCTCTCCTCCATTTGCTGGTCACTTTGGGGCAAGTTTTTCCGCCGCATTTCACAGTCCATTGCCGCTGGCTGTTGTTTCTGCTACTGCTGCTGCTGCTGCTGATTTGATTTAAATCATTTTTATTATTCCTGGCCGGAGATTGTGGGTCTGCGGTCAGCTTATGAAAGGGTTTTCCGTTAGGAAATATACCCATCAAACCTCATCATCATCATCATCATCATCAACATAAGCATCCTCAGCCTCAGCCCCGTAGCTTCAGCTTCAGAATCCGAGAGAACTTTGGCCCCAAATGAAATGAACTGAAACTTGGTGTTTGGCCAACTTTGACCCAGAGAATTTCAAGTGATTTGGTTAAGGATCCAATCGAGTTAGTGTCCGTCCAGGCACCCAACACAAACACTCTCTCCCACCACCCTCACAGATGTGTGTGTGTGTGTGTGTGTGTTGGACCCTCGTTCATTAATTTCCACTTGGCCAATGACCTGAGTGAGCGTGTCTCTTGATTACCATTTAATTGACTGTTTTATCGGATCGAATTAGATCGAATCTTATATTTGTTCCACGAAATTTGAGCTAACTTTTGGATATTTAAAATGTTTTCAACAGAAGATTCTTCTTGTACTCAATGACAAAACGAGATAGAAAGCAAGATAGTAGCGCAGATTCATAAAGAAGGATTATATCTCCTTCGTTTCAAAGTCACTTCTGCATCGGTTTATTTCTATAGCCAGAATAACAAAAAAAAATTTGACATTTGATTGTTTAAACACCTTGCTGGGGCAACGCACTTTTCGGTGCATACTTTAATGAGTCACATGCAAATAAATACCATAATTATGATACAGTACCTTCCTCTGAGAACTATCTCTGTCTTCGTTTGAGTAGCATCTAAAGAGATCCTCAGCAGATTCACTTGCATCTTTGCATTCGTCTCATTCGTTGGCTTATTCACACGAGACACTCACTCACATGGATTTT